ATTTAATTATCCAAAACGTTATGGAACACATTAATTAACTAAAAAATGTAGCATAGTATGCCTTTAAGTCTAAAAACGCTGTTCTAGGAAGTCAGGCATATCCAGCTAAAATGCAGAGCAATACAGTATAAATCTCTGAAATCAACTGACGCAAACTTTATACAAATCCCCTGATTAAAAAAAAAAAAAAAAACATCTATGCTGTTAAAACAATCACATCATGTCAGGTTTTTTTTTAGGATTACAGTATAGAAAAGTTATGAAGGCATAAATCCAGTTCCACCTTTTATCGTGAAATTTTTAATTTATTTTTTACTTTTCCATCCACACTAACTGAAATAAAACTAGGACATTTAAGTTTTTACCCAAGACCAGGTGTGTCTAACTGGTTCCAGAAAGGGATATGTGGCTATAACCTAACGATTGAAAACCGTTTTCTTTTTCATTTTTATTTGACACAAGATTTCTTTTCCTTCTGATTTTATGCTTAATTGGTAGAATTTGTATTATTCTATAAAAAATGAATTTCTCTTTTGTGTTTTTGTGATTACTATGTTATTTTATTTATTTTCTGTTTAAGAAATAAAAGGGTGATTCATTCACTAATTTAAGTTGTGTCGATTGTATTTGTCTTTCTTTTTAAATATATTTTTTATTATATTTATGTTTTCGTTTTTTTCTTGAAATTGCAGCTCAGACAAAACCAGCTCTGTCTCCTCTGTGATTCACAGTGTATTAGTATCACTGTGCTTCTCAACCTGTGTGGCACCTGCTGCTAGCATAGATTCACCTAGACATGTTGGTTCCAATCGCCCAAGAGTTTATTAATAATGAGACACTGGCATCCACTATGGCATTTGGTGTTTTTTTTTCACCAAAACTTTATTTAAACACAATGGGCTTGTGCAGGTTGTCAACAACCTTCTCCGCCTATGGCTTCAGGATACTACCAAAAGTGCACACATGCATTAAATACTCCTACAAGCAGCTTTACTTCAGCAAGTTGCTCATAAACCACTCCTTACACGCTTGCTTAAGGTATTACATGTGCAAATTGACTACCATGGCGCCCCAATATATCACACCCATGAGTGCTTGCTCCTTATCTGTGTGCATGCAGCCTCCCTCCTCGAGTATGGACCTTTTTCTGCTCCTTCCTGTCAACTTTTGTTACTGTGAAGGAGTTACCCACCTGAAAAAGCAACCTGCTTGTAACTGGCAAGTTTTCAGGAAATCCCGCATCTTGAGTTGTGACACTTTGCCGAGGTAACCAGAGTAAACTGTCTTCCAATTTCCAGTTAATGTTTGACCTACATTGGACACCCTACAGCCAGTGAAAATCCTATATTTATCCAGACCATGTTATATTTAATGATGACTCTGCTTACCAATTTCCAACTCTTACTTTGCTAGAAGAGTACAACAAAAAAAGGAAGAAGGGGGTTTCATGAAAAGTAGCCAATCACAGACAAGTTGCTTCGTCCAGTGGTTAAAGCCTCCAAAGTGACAAAATTTGACATGAGCACACAGAAACAGGTCCACATGCAAATAAGATAGAATCTATAGGTGGATAAAAAGCAAATGACAAGCACAGAAAATGAGCATGCACTAATGTTTGTGATATATTTGAGGCCTCATATTATTAAATCAATACTCATAGAACATCAAGAATCAAGTCAGTTAAAATTTGGAAAAGGGTTTATTTACTGAAAAATTTGTAACGGACAAATCTTGATCCATCAGGAAGATGGCCAGGGTCCCATGTGGGGAAATAAGTTTAATCAACAGTTACACAGCATTAAATGTTCCAACAAACCTTAAAATATCAAGTTCATTATTTAGATTTTCTTATTATGTTTGATTGCCGAAATTTTAATTGTCTGCTGTTGTTAAATACAGAATGAATCATCCACCACCAGGTCATTATCAAGCCCAAGCTAAAAACTATCAGCCAATATCTACAGTAGACTTCATTTTTTTGCCAAAAATCTTCGAAAAGGTGGTGTCTAAACAACTCATATATTTCCTAGAGGCAAATAAGATATATGATGCTTTTCAATCTGGTTTCAAGAGACACTACTCCACTGAAACAGCCCTGCTTAAAGTTTCAAGTGACATCCTGATGTCTGCTGACTTATGTAACCCTACTGCCCTAATTCTGCTAGACCTGTCCTCAGCCTTAGACACAGTTGACCGACACATCTTGATAAACAGCCTGAATGAAATCATATAATGTCTGGTCCTGCCAAACTACGTAGTATGTGGACTACGTCAGCGTTCTGTTCTAGGACCTATTATGTTCCTGATCTATGTGCTCCCTTTAGGTAGGATTATCCAGCAGTTTGAGAATGTCCCATATGCAGACATCATTCAGTTCTTCTGCTCCTTCACTACACCTGTGGCCCACAAATTAAACTCTCTGATTGAATGTTGGTCCGAAATAAAGAAGTGGTTGAGTGGCAATAGTCTACAACTGAACTCAGAAAAAATTAGACACTCAGTATTGCCCCAGACAAAGCCATTTTTGGCATTAAGCAGCACAGACAACTTAAACCAGGTGACAAAAGTTTTATTGAGTTTTATTTCATGAGGCAATGTCTCTGGAGCAGCTCATAAAACCTTTAATAAAAAATTGTTTCTTTCAACTGCGTAATATCCCAAAACTCAGAAATTTTGTTCCTGAAAATGATTTGAGATGCTTATCCATGCATTTGTGTCGTCACATTTGGACTACAGCAATAACCTGTTCACTTGTCTGAACAAAAAAGACCTAGCTTGATTGCAGCTAGTGCAAAATTCTGCAGCAAGGATTTTGACACGTATAACCAAGAACTCACATAACCCCTGTCCTAAAAGCTCTACAGTGGCTTCTCATTGAATACTGCAGAAACTTTAAAATCCTGGTCCTGACCTGTACAGCCCTGAATGGACAGGCTCCCTCTTACATTTACGACATGATTCAACCTTACTTTTCTGCTCGCAGTCTGGGCTCTGCTGAAAATAACTTATTAATGGTCCCTCAAACCCGTTTTGGGACGAGAGGTTATAGGTCTTTTCAAGCAGTTGCACCCAGACTGTGAAATGCTCTACCACTTTACCTGTGCTTTATGAACTGCATGAATGATTTTAAAAAACAACTACATACATTCTTTTTTGACCAAGCATTTTAGACTAATTTTATCAAGGGCTGCTATGATGTATTTACTTTGTCTAGATGTATTTTATATGGTGCTGTTTTGCATTTTATGCCTCATGTCTGAGAAAGGTGCTATATAAATAAACCGTACTTACCTTACTTACTTACTTACGTGACACTTTGGATATTAATAAGCATGCACAGACATGTTACTGTAGTTGTCTACTCTTATTAAGCTGTTTAATTTGGTGAAACCACCATAAAATTGAGAAAAAAATACAGAGAAATCCAAACTGAACAGAGGACCAGCACCTCTGTACTTATAGCTCTTTGTCTTCTCTCAAACACTTTAGCCTGGCCGGTTTTTCGCTCTTTCTGAGTCTTTAAGACTAAACCTTGTTGAACCTTTTTATTTTTATAGTAAATGTAGCGCTTTCTTATATCTACGGATAGATCTAGGGCTCTGGGTTCTATTTTTTTTAACGTTACCCACAAAGAAATTGGTTTCACAAACTTTCCCAGTGAACCCCCAGGTGATGAATTGTCATAAAGAATTAAACTGTAACGAACTGCCTACGTCTGACCCATAAATAATGAGACTTTGTAAAAGTAAAGTATTTATTGACCAACTTAAGAATGCAAATTACAGCAGACCACATGTGAACTTTTAGAATTTCGCTTTGTCGAACTGAATAATTATAAATGAAAACAGGTATATTAAACAAAATACCAATAAAATACCACAGGCTTTGTCAACCACCTGGCTTATAAACAGGGACTTTCTCTTCTGTTAAATGCTTTTGGAGTTCTAAATAAAATAATTCTTAACAGTCCTGACCACAGATGAGTCCTTGAATACTAACTTCATTCCAAAAAAAAAAAAACTACTGACAGTATTTAATTAGTGGGCCCACCAAAAAAAATAAATAAAACAAATGAAAGCCGGCACTATAGTCAATAACCCCGTTGCAGGCCTGATACGGACACCACTCACCACTGGTCCTCAATCCACAGTGACGAATTTATATTAACTCCTGATGCCTCGTGTTTTCAGATGGTCAGTTAATCCACGCCTTTCTCGGTAAAGGCGGAGGGAAACGCAGCCAAATCCAACCGGCCGTCTCAGCGCAGGTGCAGCTCGTCTCTGCCTCTCTCCACCAACCCCGGTGCAGACCTTCGGCATCCAGCTCACCGCGGCTCCTTTCGCGGTCCGTCGGCTGTCCCTTGGCGCTAGTGCAACAGCTCAGTGCTTGCACAGTTTTAACTGATTTTCCAACAAAAACGGCTCATAAAAGTTCCAGCACAACTTCACCGAGTCTCTTCCCTTCTCTCTCCGTTCTCCTCCTCGTCCCGCCCCCAAGTCAATCAGAATTCAGGAAAAGTGTAATCACCCAATAGCAACTCACCTTAGGCAGAACCAAAAAAACACATATACACAGCAATCTAGTCTTTGGAACCTCGTGTTGAACTGTACTTTGCATAAAAACTATATAATATTTTCCCTTCTTTAAGTGAAAGAACACAATATTTTTATAGACTATGTTCTATTCAATGAACTCTTGCTCATTTCAAGCTGTTACTAAAATACTAGGAAATTATTATCTTATTTTAAGATATTAACTTGCATAAATTAAATTTGTTATTTTTCAAAACAACAACATATATAAATATTCCTGGGAACCCAGGGGGTTACACTATCCCCGTCCTAAATGTCTAGATGTCCCCATCAGACATATCTGCATGTTGTAAACTCTCAAAGCTGCATCCTGCTCTGTGAACTGGGACATTGCAGGGTGGACGACAGGCAACATTAGGACCTTCCTCAGCGTCTCTGGTTATATATATCCTCATTCCCCGGTGAACAATGACCAATGGCCTGTCTGTAGGCTTTCCAGGCTTGTCGTACCTCAAACGGCTGATAGGCTTACTCAGTCGTTTAGTAGAAGAAACACTGGTAGAGTCAACTTCCTCATCAGACACACTAGATGTTGGGACGTCTCCCGCTTCCAGCCCTGTTACCGTCACAGGGTCCTCTGATGAAAATATAACACCACTGGTGTCCTTTTCTACAGCTGCATCATGGTCAAGCAACAAATCTTCATTGTATTACACGACTGATCCAACAGGATCTTTTTCAGAGATGACATCCTGGGGCTTCGGTTTTGTTACGTTAGAGTCCAGCGCGGATACGGAGCGGGCCAGGGAGAAGCTCCATGGCACGTTGGTGGAAGAACGTAAAATCGAGGTTATTAATGCCACAGCCAGAGTGATGACAAACAAGAAAATGACTACACCGTACTCTAATGGAAAGGGACTTGCAGCCCTACCATATGCTGGTTGGAAGTTAAGTCCTATGGTCGGAGCTATGTACAGTCCTGAGCTTTATACAGTTCCAGGGTTCCAGTACCCGGCGGCAGCCGCAGCAGCAGCCGCCGCTTCCACCGTGGCAATATTTCGAGGAACACATCTGCGGGGTCAAGCTCGGCCCGTCTACAGCGCAGTCAGGGCTGCTGTCCCGCAGCCTGCCATCCCTGCATACCCTGGTGTGATGGCCTATCAGGATGGTTTTTACGGTGCAGCTGACCTCTATGGCGGCTATGCAGCGTATCGTTACGCCCAGCCTACAGCCGTAGCGACAAGTCTGATGGCTCCGCTCAGATTGACGGGCAGTCTGAAGTTGGTTCAGGTGGAGGGGGTGGCGGCTGTCGCCCTGGGGACGATTCAGACGCCAAAGGGACGCCCAAACGTCTCAATGTATCTAACATCCCCTTCCGCTTTCGGGACCCAGACCTACGGCAGATGTTTGGCCAATTTGGCAAAATCCTTGACGTTGAGATCATTTTCAACGAGAGGGGCTCCAAGGGCTTCGGTTCTGTTACGTTTGAGTCCAGCGCGGATGCGGAGCAGGCCAGGGAGAAGCTCCATGGCTCGTTGGTGGAAGGATGTAAAATCGAGGTTAATAATGCCACAGCCAGAGTGATGACAAACAAGAAAATGACCACACCGTACTCTAATGGAGAGGGACTTGCAGCCCTACCATATGCTGGTTGGAAGTTAAGTCCTATGGTCGGAGCCATGTACAGTCCTGAGCTTTATACAGTTCCAGGGTTCCCGTACCCAGTGGCAGCCGCAGCAGCAGCCACAGCAGCATCCGCCGCTTCCACCGCGGCAACATTTCGAGGAACACATCTGCGGGGTCGAGCTCGGCCCGTCTACAGCGCAGTCAGGGCTGCTGTCCTTTAGCCCGCCATCCCTGCATACCCTGGTGTGATGGCCTATCAGGAGGGTTTTTACGTTGCAACTGACCTCTATGGCGGCTACGCAGCGTATCGTTACGCCCAGCCTACAGCCGTAGCGACCCCTGCAGCAGCAGCCGCTGCAGCAGCAGCCTACAGTGACAGCTATGGACGAGTTTACACGGCAGATCCCTACCACGCTGCGCTGGCCCCAGCAGCATATGGTGTCGGAGCTACGGCCACGCTCTACAGGGGAGGATACAGTAGATTTGCCCCTTATTAAAAGACACTTCATGTCCCAGGACATCCCCTATCCTATTGAATTATTCTGAAAGAGCTCCCTCTGTTGTTCTGGAGGTGGACTGTGTCCTGTTTTTAAAGTGTGGAGTCGACCACTGCTAAGATATTGCAGATCCCACCCCAGAGCATTCCCACTTTTCTTATCTAAGCTTCTACAAAAATAGAGGAATGCTGTATTAAAGACTAAGGGTCGCCTTTACAATAAAAAATAAGAAAAAAAAATAACTGACAGTATTTAATTAGTGGGCCCGCCAAAAAACAGAATAAAACAAATGAAAGCCGGCACTATAGTCAATAACTCCGTTGCAGGCCTGATACGGACACCACTCACCACTGGTCCTCAATCCACAGTGACGGATTTATATTAACTCCTGATGCCTCGTGTTTTCAGATGGTCAGTTAATCCACGCCTTTCTCGGTAAAGGCGGAAAGAAATGCAGCCAAATCCAACCGGCCGTCTCAGAGCAGGTGCAGCTCGTCTCTGCCTCTTTCCACCAACCCCGGTGCAGACCTTCAGCATCCAGCTTACCGCGGCTCCTTTCTCGGTCCGTCGGCTGTCCCTTGTCACTAGTGCAACAGCTCAGTGCTTGTGTTACACCCCTGTAAAAGGGGAAAATAGAAATACAACACGGACACGATGTAGCTCAGTCAAATCCAATGTTGTAATGGGCAAACAAGAGAGCAAAACATGTGTTCACATTGTTACAAATGTAATTTCTCTTTTACAACATATTGTCTGAAAAATATTCCTAAACAGCCCTTTTAATGGCGTTATTCCCATATAAACAAACACAATGGGAGAAAAATAGCAACCACATATAATTTTATCCACCCCTTAGCATTACGCCCGACACAGTTAGCATGAAGCAGTTAGCACACAGTTAGCATCATGTTCAACCTACAAAGTGCACAGACAGTTTTAATTATTCAATGTTTACTCTCCGTATTACCGAAACAATATAAGTGCCTTCATAAACTTTTTAAACATAAAACAACCCTCAGTCTTACCTGTAAAAGGGGAAAATAGAAATACAACACGGACACGATGTAGCTCAGTCAAATCCAATGAGAGAGTTAAACTTAATAAAACAGCAAACAGCATTGTTACTTCCCAACAAAAAAGAACACTGAATAGAAAAGCATTCTACATACAGTTTTATTTTTTATCTTATTGACCTATTTTAACTAAGAAGAAGAAAACCAATGGATTACCGATCTCTAGATCATTCAATTGTAACTTTAATAACAATGTCCGTTTCTATCATCTTTACACTTGCACAGTTTAAACCGATTTTCCAACAAAAACGGCTCATAAAAGTTCCAGCACAACTTCACCGAGTAGAGTCCTGCAACGGGTCGGGTATCCGCGGGTCCCCGACAGGTCACCCGCTAAAATGCTCTTTTGTGGGTGAAAAATACATAAATAAAAATAAACGGGTATGCGGTGTCGGGCGGATATTTTTTTAGTGCGGGCGGCTATTTGGTGATTTTTTTTTTTATGCGTGTGTGTTGTTATGGACATCAGAAATGTTATATTAATCAGGCACTGCGGTCACCCTTATTGTAGCTTAAAGCCCTGCCGGAAGTGTGGGCTTCCTTTCAAAAAGGCCACAGTCAGTGCATACACATCTGCTGCAGTGTTAATGGCGCTGTTCTGCAGCGCAGCGTACTATAGCCTATTACTTGATGTGTTAACAGGTCGGGTTGCGGGTTAAATATCAACGGGTCGGGTTCGCATTTGAATTGAAGATATCCGCGGGTGACAGGTCGGGTTCGGTAGTCATCCTAACGGGTTCGGGCGAGTGCGGGTTGGTAAAACTCGACCCGTGCAGGACTCTATCACCGAGTCTCTTCTCTTCTCTCTCCGTTCTCCTCCTCGTCCCGCCCCCAAGTCAATCAGAATTCAGGAAAAGTGTAATCACCCAATAGCAACTGACCTTAGGCAGAACTAAAAAAAACACATATACACAGCAATCTAGTCTTACGCACCTCGTGTTGAACTGTACTTTGCATAAAAAGTATATAATATTTTTTCCTTCTGAAAGTGAAAGAACACAATATTTTTATAGACTATGTTCTATCCATTGAACTCTTGCTCATTTCAAGCTCTTACTAAAATAATTGGAAATTATTATATCTTATTTTAAGATATTAACTTGCATAAATTAAATTTGTTATTTTTCAAAACAACAACATATATATATATATATATTCCTGGGAACCCAGGGGGTTACACCCTCCCCGTCCGAAATGTCAAGATGTCTCCATCAGACAATTCTCTTTGTGTAAAATAGTCAAACTCTCTCAGGTGGGAGCCCAATGGGTTACATAAAGTTTGTGGAGGCTTCTTTTAGCATGTCAGAGTTGACATGATCTAGTTCTGGCATCTTTTTCTTCCACTTGTAAAATAGTTTTTATACCAGCTAATGTCTGATTTCAAATTCTTGTGAGACCTTTAAATATCCCTTTAAACCGATTAGAGCGATCAGCTGTACTAATGGCCCTAATTAGCATATGAATGCAGCAAACCCGCGCGGCTGGCCAGGTCTGGCTTGAATAACCTTCTCAGTATTGGCTGAAACCACTATTCTCAAACAAATGAAATCGCTCGTGATTGGCAGCAAAACCAAACGTGGCCACGCCAGGCTTTAATTTTCTTACTGAGTATTGGACGGAACCACTTCTTTTTAAACAAGTAAAGTCGCTCGTGATTGGTTGGCATATATATACATTTACATATAAATTTACATATATATATTTATTCATATATATATATATATATTCATTTATATATTTATTCATTCATATGCTGTGTATTTATGTTATCCTACACTACTACACAATTATTATGCTACCATCAAGGACATGAATGAAGTTATACAGGAAATGAACATTTGCCAGGAAGCTGTTTATGCAAAGAAAGAGCTTTATTGAAACATACACACACACACACAACTATATACAACGCGTATCCAAACACATGCGTTTCTAAAAATTAAAAGTCCGTGAACGGTCCGTTTGCTTCCTCGGGGTTGGAGGTAACTGGCAGCATTCCCTCCGAGGCAGGTCCGATGTGCAGACGCCTACTGTGCGTGGCCCTGTACTTCAGCATCACTTCTAACCGGGACTGCAGCTTAACACAGAGTTCAGTGAGATCCGGCCTACGAAATGGCGGCGACCGTACAATCCATCCAGAGACACCGCGACAACGGCGGACTTCCAGAGTTCCACTTCCTCATCTGCTAGCACACTCTGCCTCGCTTTCAGCAGCTGAAAAAAACAAACAATGAATCAGCGCACTGCGTATGGACACAACACATCTATTAATGCACCTGAAAAATAGTCACCAAATAAAGTCTTACCCTCTTTCTTCTGGCCCGACTCCGAGCAGATTGCCTCCGCACGCAGCGTGTTGGCTAGCAGCGTATATCTGAAGCTCCTGCGTACCGTCTGAAAATACGTCTTACAGGCAGCTGGAAAACAATTAAATGAGAGTGGTATAAATAAAAAAATCAAACGCAAGTCACAGTAACAAGGAATGAGAAAACATTAAAACAAGTCACTTACACACAATGTCGTCTTTATCAACATCGTGCAAATCTGGACTTGCTGATTATGGCTCCGAGCAAATAGGAGGTCACCGCCTCATTGTGAGGCGACAGTAGTCTGTGAAAACAAAATGTAAAGCTATGATCGGTATCTATCCGTATCCATTGCCTTTTACCGCAGAATGAAAGCATATTCTTTAAATCTTACCCTTGCTCCGGTTCATAGCGCCTGCAATTAGTCTCCGAGTTGTGAAGACGGCGTACTGCTTCCTGTGAATCACAAAAAATACACTTTAATAAAGCTTGTTCTTGCAAGGCTACTATTAGCGGTAGCTTTAGGCTAGGCTGCTATTAGCCGTAGCTTAGGCTAGGCTGCTTTTAGCCTAGCAGGCAGTAATCGAACATATATTTACCGCTAGCATCTCTTCTTTGAGTTCGTCTTGTTCGATGCAGAGTCGCCATCGCGTCCAAGAGGAGTTTTACCCCGAAATCCAGAAGCTCCAGACCGCCTGCACAAAGCAAAGAATCCATCCTCCACTGTGGCTGCACACCGCGCCGCTCTGAGTTTCTTGGAGATCGTAGAGCGCATGCGCGAGATGAACCAGGGTTTCCGCAGATCAATAAAAATAATTAAAAAATCATTCATTTTTTTTAAAATCAAGGCCTTAATTGGCACTAAAATTATTTAAATATATTTATCGAAGTATTTATAATTCTTTAATAAAAAATGCTTATAAAAACAATTTCGTCAGATATATTATATCGCTCCAGGCGGAGAAAAAGCTAGAGGATATATATATACGTATATATATGTGTGTGTGTGTGTATGTGTGTGTGTTTACATACATACAGGAGTCATGGAACTGTGCTTGCAGCTCCTTCATTTTCATGTACACTAATAACTTGTGTACATGGTTCTTGTTGATGGCATTAAAATCATTTCAAATAGCATTCAATTAGAGTCACTCATTCCTGTATGAACCCTGTGAGCACTTAATTTAATATGACATATTAAAAAAATCCCACCATCATCCAGCCTATGTTCAGTTTCTGCCCAAATATATATTTATATTTTTGTAGATTTTTGTAACGGGGATAAGGATAATTCAAAACTGCTTTTTTTGAATGAACTTGTTCTCTTCTCCCAAACATCTCTTTTCATTCCTGTAATAAGAAGTTTCTTTTGAATGGATTTGATTAAAGTTTAAGTCCCTCGGTATAAAATAAATATTTTGATGGAGATGAGAAATCTGCTTCCTCGTTGGTGAATAACCAATAGTTTGGATCCAATCATTTAAATAAACGGTGTTAGTTTTTTTTTTTATATATATATAAGAATTGTGCTATAACCGATCTGTTGCTGCTATATTTTAATTTGACGAACCGGAATTTGTCGATGTTCTTTTTCCTGTTTGGTGCGATTGCAATTGCGGATCTTGACCTGGCCGGACCTTATGACCACAGTGTACCAAACTTCTGATGGCTACTTCCAACAGGATAATGCGCCATGTTATAAAGTGAATCATCTCAGACTAATTTCTTGAAACTTTTCCACTTAAGTTATTGTGAATTGAGCATATTGACAGACAACATTTTATTTTTTATCTTAAATGCAAATTTTTTTTTTTTTAATAATTACTGCTCTAAATGTATTGCTCTGT